ACTTTCAAACATGCTTTCTATACTGATACATTGGATCTGTTTTGATAATTGATATGAATTCAGCAAGTGCCTTATCTTTCTCAAAGGTCCATTTATGATATTTTACTGGGGACTTCTTTATAGGAGTCTGATAAATCTTTCTGCTCGGAAAGTACAAAATAAACAGTGTAAACTTCAATATTTAAATCGGAAATTGCTCTTCAGTTGAACAACAATCTTCAGTCGTACTGTATTTTTATTATATTTTACAGTAATATTGTAATCCAGGATTCTGAAACACGGTCAGTAGACTGAGTACAGTTAAATGTGGAAACATGTATGCGTTTGTTCAAAAGAATTTGAAGAAAATAGTGATTCGTACTGTAGTTTTTACTTCGCGCCAAATGATAACCGCGCGGTCAATTCCCGCCCTCGGCGAAAGAATATAGCAAAAGTACCCCATTTTCAAACCGCGATTACTAGTCGATTTCGTCGAGCTACTTTGAGTTTTAAAGTACGAATGGAAAGAATAAACTTTCATTAATTCGCTGACGTGTTTTATTTTAATTTCCCATCAAAAAAATGAAAGTAGCTTCTGCATTTTTTGAAAGCCACTTTTGTGGCGCGTCCACTGACCCGAATCAAGCATAAATATAATACGTAATTAACTTAACTAAAAAGTAATTTCTGTACCAAACAAGTCGAAAATAGTTTAATTAGGTTCTTAAATAATACAAATATAAAAACATACCTTCGAAAAAATGATGTCTTCAAAGATAAAAATCGCAATATATTTCAACAACTTTTCACTAAACGTTTGTCGAAAATCGCAATTGTGAATAATAATGAACGCAATGCATGATGGTATAGTCACCCAACCTCCTCTGGTCAAAACGAGCATCATTTTTGCAGCATGCGGTGTTTCCACTTTTTGCCAAACTGATGTTTGGTCATTGAATATTGAATTGTAGTACATTTTTTGAAAATATGGGTTTCAAAGCATGACAAAATTTGTAGAGTTGTGTTGAAAATATGGGTTTCAAAGCATGACAAAATTTGTATAAAATAATACACAAACGGGGTTAATTATATTTGGTCGGTTGCCTTTGGCGAAAAAGATCATACACAATTCCCAGTTGTGGTATTCCGACTCTGTGAAAACTCTGCAAATAGCCCCCTACTTCAATGGCCCTTTCTCTAGAGTGCTGGCACTTAATTTGTTAATTATTAAGCAGAAATGCACCCAAATGTGCCCTATTTTGTTGTTTTACTCTGTCTAATGCCAGACGATTTAGCTTTAAACTCATCAAGGGGGGGGGGGAGTTTTTCACTCTAATGTGTTAACCCATTCATTAAGCTAAGTAAAAAAAATAAGTAGTACACATTGCGGCTCAACGGGTCTACTGCACAGTAGTTCATAATTAGCACAATTAAACCATAATAATCTATTCTAATATGTTGCTCCAATTTCATTTAGATCAACACAATTAAACCTATTTTAACAATTCTTCTCTTTCAGTCTAGTTCAGATCTAACGACAGTAAATTGGATACAATGAGTGTGACACAATGAATGAACAACAGGAAACTTTAAGAGTGCAGTTAAGGGGGTCATTGGTGGATCTTTTAAGACAGCTACAAAATTTAGATTCAGAAAAATTAGATGCCATTACATTCAGGCTTGGACAATTAGCCTCCCATATCATAAGACTTTGTGATGTAAACCTTGTGGATGATGAAATTCAACATTGTGTCACACAAGCAATGTATTATTTGCAAAGAGTGGAAGAGTTGAATACTGATAGACCTTTTACAACAGAAGTTGTTCATTCTGGCAGACCAGGCCGCCCTGGTCTTGACATTAGTCTTGAGCAACTAAACTACTTCCTGAACTATCAATTTTCTATCAGTGATATTGCAAGAACTTTGGGAGTCTCACAAAGTACAATATTTAGACGAATGCGCAAATATGGACTGTTTGTCAGGTGCAATTTACCTCCTCTTTCAGATGATGAGCTTGATGCCAAAATCAGGGAAATTTTACAAGAATTCCCTAATGCAGGATACCGTAGAGTTATTTCCCAACTTGCTGTACGTTGCTGGGTTGAAGCCCCCGCAAATGAGAGTTCGAGAGTCCATGCAAAGGGTTGACCCCCAAGGAGTTGCTGTTAGATGGCTGAGATTGACTCCAAGAAGGCAATATAGTGTTTCTGGTCCTTTGGCATTATGGCAACCATAAATTGATCAGGTACACTTTGATATTATACATGTAAATGTGTACTGTAAAAATGCCAAAAACACCCATTTGATATTTGAGCAGAGATGAAAAATGTTTTCTCTTTTCTTCTGGGACCATGCATGGGTTTTGGGCTCATACTTTCTCTCATCAAATTGAATAAGAAAAGGTGACAGCAGCACACTGGACATAAAAAATTGCTACATTAATTAAGGCAATTTTGCATTGCAGCCACTTTGTCCAGGCGGGTGGGGCAACCAATTTTAATCATGAGGAAAATCGGTCGCGAGGGCACGCCGTCTACTTTCATGGCGTGTCCGTGAGCATTCAAGTAGCTGCAACAACTGCAGAGAAAGTTGACTAATGTTTGCAGTTCGCTCCATCTGCTCAGGCCTCAGGGAAAGCAACTGCAATGGAAATTGCCTTTAGGCAATTCACCATTGACATTATTATAAGCTTTAATTTATTATATTATTAATATTGTTTTAAATTATAAAACTGGTTTTAGTTGGCGACTGGTCATACATGGTGGGATTGATGGGTACACACGAATCCCAGTTTTTTTAAGGTGCAATGAAAATAATCGTGCTGAAACAGTTTTAAATTGTTTTTTGGATGCAGTTAGTGAATATGGATTGCCATCCAGAGTTCGGTCTGATAAGGGAGGCGAAAATACAGCTGTTTCTCTTTACATGCTACAACATCCTTCACGAGGACTAGGGAGGGGAAGTATGATCACTGGTAGGAGCGTTCATAATCAGCGGATCGAAAGATTGTGACGTGATCTGTTTGAGGGTGTTACCTACGTCTATTACCATCTATTACCATCTATTTTATCATTTAGAAGATAATGGTTTGCTTGAATCATCAAACCCCTTACATCTTTTCTCACTGCACTATGTGTATGTTAAAAGGATAAACAGGCATATAGAAAGTTGGAGACAAGGCTATCTACAGCACAGGATCAGAACTGCAAGAACAGAACTCCCATGCAACTTTATATTATGGGTCTTCTCAATTACAGAAGTTCTCAGCATGTGGCAATTCGTGACTTGTACGAACCAACTACAACGGTGAGAAAAATTAATATGAAGTACAATAGTAAATTTCTTATAGATACTTGCACATGAATAGGTACAATGCATTTAATCTTTATTCTAGTTATTGATTAGGAGTCGAATTCAATCCAAAAAATAATTATTGCATGCCATAGAGTCCAAGCATAGTGCTTTAACTTAAACAAAGAACTATTCAATGTATTGTCAGAAAATGACAATAACAGCACCCTAAAGGCCAGGAAATGATGCAAAACTATTGAATTCTACTAACCGGCCCCTCGTCTATTCCGTTTTGCATGTATCATAAAACAATTTGGATCTACATATGTATGTATCAAACATTATGGTACATTACTGCGTATTTTATGTTGTTTCACAGGATGAATTTCAGCAATATGGAATAGATTGGGATGGCCCTGTTCCAGCCGAGGACGACATGGACGTTGATGCAGTTCAAGTCCCAGAAACAACTTGTCCACTGTCTCAAGAACATCTTGATGAACTTGTCGCTACAATAGATCCACTAAGGGAAAGTAACTCGTATGGGATTGATATATATTTGGAGACAATGGAATTTGTTAACACCCACATTGCTTAGAAACGAGTGCCACAAGAATTCAAATACAAGTATTAAGGTTTCCAACTTTTGTCCTTTCCCATCGTCAGGGGGCAACCCATTTATTATGTGCTGTACGCCACAAAATGAAAAACTAAGCTCCCTCCCTCCACATTGGACGCAAGGCACAATAGAAATGACATAGAATACATATAGATAGGCACACACAGAAGCTGCTATGCGTGATGTACGTACTACTGTAAATGGTTCACCCTTTTCCATAGGACTATTTCAGTAACAAAACAACAAAAAATGTATATAAGAATACTGTAGTAGCAAGTATCTGTATTGAGTGTGTAATATTGCACACTTTTGTAGTTTGCACGCTTTTGTGGAGCACCATTAGCTGATCACTTACGAACGGTCAATTCCCATGGAACCATGTAGGAGTGCTATATCCAAATATTTCTTGAATTCTTCATACGACTTATGCATGGTTGGAAGCGTCAGAATTGAAAAGCAGGTTTCTCCCAACGGCAATTTACATTCACCCTCGTCAAACTTTACCTGTAACGTTGCACCTCGTGGGGGCAATTGGTTCGTAGCTGTCCAAAAACAGCATAAGTCCGTCAGAGAAGGGCTATCTAAATAAGTAGAAATAATTACGTATGTTGGCTTTTGGGTGAATCGAAAAATTAATGTTTACACTTACTGTACACTATACGTATGGAATAGATTAGGTGGCCCTCTTCCAGCTGAGGACGACTCTCTCTCTCTGGCTAGTCCTGCCCGAATCGTATGTAAATGTTGTAAATTATTAGTCTTATTTATGTCTGTTATGTTTCGCAAATCTTGTAAAATAAATGAAATGTACGAAATTTTGACAGGCAAATGGAAATACAGTACATATGACGAATGTGCCACGAGACAGACTTCCCTAAAATTATTAACGTGCTTATACAGCTATACGTTTTTATCATACCCCGTTATCCCAGTCTACTTAAGATACTGCACCATACCTGGTTCATATTTTGACAATAAGAATAAATAATTGTGCCAGAATGTTATCGTCTGCTCATGACCCTCAGTCTGCTCAAAAACCATGACTTCTTTCATTTGTTCAAATGTAATGGTTTGTTTGTCAGATGTTGGGAAAATAGAATCTAATGCATCAGATCCACATCTTCCCAGAAAACTGTGGAATCCGACCTCGTTCATTCCTAGTAATGAGAAATACACATAAAATCCAAGTAGCCATTCTAGAAAGCTAATGCATTACTGTATACTTTGTACATAGCTATTCGCGTGAATTAGTCAAAATTTAATATGGCCGAGGAACACAATCTGATTACGATAATTGGTTATTGAGGAATACGTGCAGAAGCACATGCACGAAACTTATATTTACCAATCATAGTTATTTAAAATATATACACAAGTCGTTTCACTTTTAAAATATGATCGATAATTTCCATGCATGTTGGGCAATGCAATTTTTGCTCGGCAACTTACAACGCAATTTTTGACTAGAACAAGGCACTCAAAAGCCACTGAAATACCAAGATGGCAGACTGCATACTGTTTTTGGTTAAAATATTTTGACTAGGGATCCAAGGATTGTGTGAAGTTTCAAATTGAAGAAGACACTGCAAGAACTACATAAGGTCGCTGACAACATAGAAAAGCTGATGGCTTACACTACGAAATATACAGTTACCAAAGGCATTTTATCTCATTATCTATGGCTTTTAATGCGCTCCGCACACGAGTAGCGTGACGTTTGAAACAAGCCTAACACATCAGAAACGTGCCTTGTGAAACTGATACAACTTATAAATATACGAAGTTCCACAGACCTTTAGCTATATCATCTAACTCTCGCTTTCTCTTATCGATCACGTGGTACACCATAAGGCCTTGAATGGCCAACTGCCGATCTGAATTCAAAACATTGATATCCAGACCAGATTCAAAAAGATATGGTGTGATCCCCTCTTTAAGTTCTGGAGGGATTTCATCATCCGGTGCAATATTTTCAAGCTGGAATGTAAGAACCCTTTATATTACATAACTGGTTTATATGATATAGCGTTTTCATGGGGCTTCGGTGGCGAAGTGGTTAGTGCACTTGACTTTCACCTCTAAGGCCGCAGGTTCAAATCTTAGTGAGAATTTCTCAATGTGACTCGAGCCCAGTCCTTATGTGAAAGGAGTAAAAATCAACGCTCTGCCGAAAGTCGTGTGTTTTCTCTCGGTACTCCGGTTTCCCCCCACAGGAAAGTTGACAGGGTGGGTCAGGCACATAGGTTAGGGGACAGATCATTAATGAGGTATGGACTAACAGCGGCTGCTTAACGCGCCATTTATAAGCTCATAGTCAAGCATGCTTAACGTCAGTTCCGGCTGTAATGTAACCAGTCACTGAAAGATTGTAATGCGCACTTGATCATATACATTTGTAAAATCGCGCAATAGAAATATTAAGTATTATTATAATTGATCATATAGTATTTCATAGAACTTAAATGATTATTGTATTTACTTCAAGTCATACATACTTGTAATATATATTGTCTTAGGTGAACATCAGAAACGTCAGCAATGCTAATACTTGCAGGCAGAGTTTCTAGATTAGGGTCTTCGGTGCAAGCGGTACCAGTCAGAGTCCAATAACGCTTCACTGCTGGGGAGAGACCATATAACAATGGACCACCATGTATCAACGAATGGCCAATTATACGCCCAATTGCTTTAAACGATCCTGTGCACCTTAAGGACTGATCATGAATAGGAATTAGATGGTCCACTTCGCCTTCAAAGAACATAGTATGTCTTCCGCTTCCACCAATACCATCCTGCACGACTTTCATAGCACACAACAAGAATTCTCGGATAGGGCCACAACCAACACCTTCTTCTCCTTCAAACCTGACACGAGGTTTTGCTGTCAGTTTACACTTACTATCTTTGTAGTGGCTCAGGATGTCTTTTTTCAGCTCTTCCATGCCATCCTCTCTTGAAACTGTAAAACGCTGCCGTGGTAATTTATCATTGACGACCTCTTTCCTGAAAGCATCTAGGTCTGAATGTGATTTCGCTTCACCACATATGTCATCAGGTTGGTCAGCAATTCCGCGAATGGCCAGAATTTCGATTTCATCATCCAAACCTTGCATGAGTAAAAAATTATTTCGGCAATGAGGTACGGTAATAAGCACAGGAGAATTTACATAAGAATACAGTATTCTGCGAGTACAGTCATAAAAAAAGAGAGGACTCTGCTCGCAGCTAGGGTAACGTACATCAGAAAACAATGTTTGAAAATTGCAGATTGCTTGGGCTGAACTGTACAGTACGCGAGTAAAGTTATTAAGAAGTTCCATTATATCAAATAAGAAAGCATTTTGCAGCAAAAGAAAGAAATATTCAAGATCACAGTATTGGGTAAGGGTTTACACAAAAAATGCAAACTATAAGTCGTTAATTAAGTTCATCAACTGCTGCATGTATAAGTAGAAAACTTTGTTGTTTCGCTATTTGTATTTTATGTCGATTTTGTATTTTATGTCGTTACCTCAGACTCAGTGCTAGAATAAACTCATTCTCAAAATTTCTTTTTATACGAATGTAGATATTATCATACTTAATGATCATACTAAATTAAGGCCACGCCCCCCCCCCCCATTCCCTATTGTTAAGACCCAGACCATGCCCCCCCTCCATTCCCTATTGTAAGGCCGTTTTGGACCCCTTCAAATTGGCTTAAATCAAATGTTTAGTTTAGTTTAATTTAATGAATTTGCCATATATTACATAATATCATTATAAGTACATATATGACAGGAGTTTGAACAGGATTTGCATCCCAATTGCAACATAAACAATGACATTTTTGCAGAAAATGACTAATGATAATGATCAATGATGCAGATCAATGACTAATGATAGAAGTGCTCACTAAAAAATACGATAGGATAAGGTAATTTTTTTTTGGGGGGGGGGGGTTCAGGGCCCCCATCTAGCCAAATCGCCCGGGCCCCCTTGAGGTAGCCAGTCTGCCCCTGTTAAGACCCGCTGGAAAATTGGTAGTTTCGTCGGAATCTTTATGGTCATATATGCAGGGCCGCTGAGTGCTTTTTCAGTTTTACATGCACTGTATACCCAACAAGAGGAGGGCAGAGGTGTAACTAGAGTGTTAATTGGGGGGGGGGTGTATATTCATATATTCGTGTTCTGCCCCACAAATTTCTTTTGAATTTAAGTTGATTTCAAATAAAAATTAGTCGGGCAGAACACAAATACATGAATATAAACCCCCCAATTAACGCTCTAGTTACGGGGGGGGGGGGGAGGTGAATTAAAATGTTTTTGTTCAGGACATTTTTTACCTATTGAGTTTGTCGGAAAAATGTGACCCACAGCGCCACTGATATTAAGTATGATTTACATTGTAAGATCACATTTTGGTGTATAACGCTTTGCTAAAATTTGCTAAACATAACAAAACATACAGTGTATACGTACCATTGCCCAGTAGAATTTCTGTTGCTGTTTCAATGCAGCCATTTGCATTTTCCAGCGCTTCTCTTATTTCATTTGGTTCATTGTTTGGGAAAATGCTTTTCAGTTGATGGAAACCTAAAAAAAAGGTACGCACTGATTACTATTGTTTTATCAAGCCAATTGCAAAATACAAATACTTTATTCATTGATCTTTTTCAGCACAAAAAGCAAGAAAAACTTAGCAAAAAGTCCCCATGGATTCAACTACCTGAAAAATGCAAGCAATATACTTTGATGTTTTGAGCAAAAGCCATTTGTCTGAAAGTTATTACCGTAGGTCTGCTGGGAAAAATAAATGTGTTTTATGTATACAGTATTACCTGTATCTGTTTGTTCCAAATTGTTTTCCATTATTTCTTCACATTCACTACAAAATTGGACATACAGTATATACTTATTTAGTATTATTGAATACAGCAATATATATATATATATATATATATATATATATATATATATATATATATATATATATATATATATATATATATATATATATATATATATATATATATATATATATATATATATATATATACTAGCTGTTTTGTATTAAAGTTACTGATAAAAAATTCTGTTAAAAAAAAAAACACAAATGACTTGTGCAAAAATACTAAAGCAATCAGTTATTTGCCTCAGGCTCAGTGATTATTGGGGAATATATACTTTCACTTTGTCTTTGTGAATATTCCCTGATAATCACCCCACCTTGATAATTGAGATTACCTTGCACTGTAATTAGCAACATTTCCTGAACCACCTCCTCCACACACTTCGTCATGTTCTTGCATCATGTCCATGGCAACAGCAACATGGCAATTAACACATTCTACTCTTGGACTTGTAGAAATCTGAGAAATAGTATGTATACAGTACAGTATATGTTGGCAGTTCATGTACTTTACACTTGTAACTTATGCACAGTGCACTAATGACTTCATGAAATAAATACTACGCATTCGCAGCAAAGTCGTAACCTGGCAATACACAATTTTTAGTTTTGGAAAATAATAACTGAAATTATCAATTAGTTGAATTTATCAATAGAATTAAGGTTACAGGACACCCTTTTTGGCGTTTTGTGGAAAATCGCTACTGCGCGCTCGATACCAGTCCGATTTTCATCAAATTTTCACCAAATGTTAGCCAGTGCATGCAAAATATGATGAAGTTGTAAAATTGACAAACAATAAAATAATGTAAGAATTATTCAGGAAAATCTTAAGTCGCGGTACCTTTACGCTTTTGAGTTATGTTCCTGCTGGTTTTAAGATATATTTATGAAAATATCATTTTTATACAGTAAAATAGTTGTTCTAAAAAATTGTGTTCGGAAATTTTTGTTTATTTCGTCATTCCGCTGATATGGCGATTTCTTTGACGACTGCAACATATTTCTGAATCGTTTGTGTGAATTGCTCCTTATTATTAAAATATCCAAAATGAGAACAAAGCCGAACACAATTTTGAAACTGACGTCTTTAGCTATGTCCTGTGAAAATTTGAGAAAAATTGGTTAAAACCCGCAGGAGCACAACTCGTTTGAAAATCGGTAATTGCCGTAAAATTGTTCTGGAGAAAATTGAATTTGAATATTACATTTTCAATGTTTTTCTTAGTGCAGCGAAATGTATTTTATTAAATAACTCTGCGAGTTTTCAATATTTTTCGTTCAAACTTGGTCAGATAGTAGAACTAGTCTAATGCTTTCGTGAAAACGACTAAAAATTTTTTAGGCAAAATTAACACTCAAAGGTGTTCTGTAACCTTAATGAAACCACAAGCATTTGACAAGATTTCTTGTTATAAATGTAATGGCACTGGAAGGGAGGCACTAGAAGGGAGGCTGGTCTTGTGGGATAGTACATTGTCATTGACATGTCAAACATGAAACATATTGTTATAGAATAAAAGTATTGTAACCTGAAAAGGATAGAACATACTGCTCAGAGCATTAGTAAAATATATATAAATGAAGTACTTTATATAAATAAATAAATAATAAAATTCCAACCTGAGTTTGACCTTTACTCGTGAAAGTGCTGTTATCAATAACAATGTCTTTTTGGTAAGGTCTGATGTATCCCTTGGCCGAGCCTTTTGTTGATTTTAAAAATGAGACTGTATATCCACCAGGTGGCATAGCAAGGAGCATCAAATTGCGATTGCCACGCTCTCCCGTCCGTAGGATGTTATATCCACCAACATCAGAGAGCATTGGAAATGCTTCCAAAATCTTATTGTGGACATGTTCACTATTTCCACCTTTATTAAAACATATTGTTCGCTCATCCAAGCCAGAAAGGGCCATATTAACCTTCTCTGCTGTAGATGGGGCTGTGGTTGCATTTCTCTTTGCTAAACAGGCAAATGTACGGGACCATGTGTTTCGCACAGGAATAGACACCTGTTCTCCAGTTGATGTCGTTATCCTTTTCCTTTTCGAAAGAGGCAGTCTACTATTTCTCTTACTACAGGATGGTGGTCTATATCCAAACAAATTTCTGTGTTCCTCAGCTGCAGTTGGTCTGGGCACCTGTGAGGCTGTTGTTGCGCTGAGCATTGGACTATGCACAGGAACTTGCTCAGGTCTGTGCACCTGTGGTGACGCTGCTGTTGGGCTAGTGATTGGGCTATTTACAGAAACTTGCTGAGAAGAATTTGATGTATTCTCAAGACGAGTCACTGCGTTCAATAAATTCTCAGCACATGCTCTCAATAACTGTTTTGGATCATTATTACTCATTTTCACCTACACAATAAAATAATATCATAAATCATTCACTGTGGTTGAATTAGGCCTAGTCTCTCAAACTGGTTTAATTTGTTATTCATATTAAAAAACAATGGAAATCAGTACAAGTTGCTTTAATTTTGTATACAATAGATTATTATGGTTAAGTTGCTTTGATTGTGCCAATTATGAACTGCTGTGCAGTAGTAATCCAGTAGACCCATTGCAATGTGTCCTACTTATTCATTTTACTTGTCTAATGCTCTGCAGCTTAATTAACCATTGAGTTGCATTGCACCCTGAAGCACCCTACTTTAATATTTTACCCTATCTAACGCTACACAATTTTACCCGTCAAGGAGAGAGCGCTGGCGCTTAATGGGTTAACCAAACACGCCTAATAACATGCCCTTAATTAAATTGCATCCTCTTAACCCTCTAAGTGGCAATGCACCCCTAGCTATGCACCTTAGTTTAATATTCTACTGTCTATCGCCAGACAATTTTACACGTCAAGTGAAGAGTGCTGCCACTCAATGGGTTAACACATTAGAGTGAAAAACGCCCCCCCCCCCCCCCCCCCCC